ATAGCCAAAAACGCGTCCAGGCTTCTTGTCTAGCGGGGTACTTCCAGTCTTTCAAATCGGACTGGTTTTTTTTTCTCTCTTTACGTGGTGTGGGCGCTGCTTAGGGCTTTTTATTATTATTATTTTCGGATCCGCGGGCAGGCTGTAATGTGAAAGCAATGGATGGAGGAAGTTCAGTATCTGCAGGGGATGCCAGTGGCTCGAAACAGGCTGGCATCGTGGTGCACCGTAATTATTTGTGAAACTCCTTTAGAAGGAGGAGGAGGAGGTATTCAGGGGTTGTTGAAGGAAAACCATACCAGAATTTCAAAGATGTGGCCTGAGGTAACCAGCTAGCTGTAATTTATTTTCGAGAGCAAGAATAATGTGAATTGCGGTTTTCTTAAAAAAAAAAAAAAAAAAAAAAGTGCACAGGAAGGGGAAAATACTGTTCTTCTGTGTACAAAGATATCAAATGTTCGGGAAGTGCATTGGTTTGGGAGATGGTGGAAATGGCTTTGCCTTGGTTAGATAACAATGGGCCCAATCCTTCTACCCCCACACGATTTCAGATGACTTCACCCATGGGAGAAGTGCTGGTGAGATGGTGTGGCTGATTCCGAAGGGCTTTCCCTGTTACCTTCCTTTCTGGAAGCATGCTGTCCTGTATGCTCCAGTCTGCCCTGATACCGTGCAGAGAGACCAACAGATGCTCTGAGCCCCGACTCAATCATCCTTGCCAGTTCTTGGACAATCTGGATATTACTGACTGAGTCAACGGGACCATTTGCCGAGCACAGAGGTGTCTCTGCGTGAATAGGCAGCTGCAGAATAGGACTTTTTCATGATAGAAAACTACTGGAAAGGATTAATGAAGCCGCCTAGCAAATGGTTTTAGTGGTATCTTTACAGGGAGGTTTCAGGGGAATGTTACAGTAATAATGAGCAGCGTGACAGCTTGCTTCATGGTGTCTCTGCTGCTACTTTTCTGACTGCTGCTCTCTGATTTCTGTTTCTTCAATAAATGCAAAGCTCTAAGGCTGCTGGTAGGAGGGGTCTGACTGTGGACCTGAATTTATACAATAACTGCTGTCCTTTGCTGCTACGAAAATTTATTTGTAAACAGGCATTATTTGACAAGTGGTTCTCACAGCATGCCTCCTTTGCCAATTGCTACGGAACAGCTCCGCGACTGGGAACGGCTCACCCTGCAGTACGTGGAGCCCAATGCATGAGAAACCTCGCACGCTGCTGTCCACCTGCCTGGCAGCGTGCCGCTGACACTTGTCACCGGTTCGCGTTTGAGAGGTTCAGTTTGGCTGCTTCTGGGCTCTGATGAGATTCTCCCCTGGGGTTAGTTGTTCAGCTGGTTAGGAACTTTACTTTTGCTCGGATGGAGGTAGCCATCTTAGAATGGTGAATATTATTTTCAAAAGTTGGTGGTATTGCACTTTCTGTTTGTTGTTGTTTTTTCTTTTTGTTTTGTTATCATTTGTTCTACTCACTGTCGTTAAACAACTAGCCAATATCCTGTGCTGTGTAGGTATGTAACCTGTGTGTAGTTGCATAAAGGATGACAAATTCTCAGAATTATTTTTTTCTGTAACCATGAATCACATTTTTTGTTTGTCTGAATCTAATCCACAATGACTTCATGGGATAATATACGTGAAGTTAACAATGCACAGTATGTGTTGTTCTCTTTTACCCTCTAGTGGAGGAACACTTAGGGGAAAATGCTTTAAAAAATCTAGGTTAAGATTTGAGGGGAGGCAAGGGGAGAAGCAAATTCACTGTTTTAGTTCCTTAGCATGGAAATAGCTTTTTGCAAGGGCTGCTGAGTTTCAGGAGCTCCTGCCATTTTTATGGAGAGGTATTGAGGGCCCAGCCTATATCACAAACCTGGTCACCTTCATAGATATTTTCAATAATGTATTGAAGGATATACATTGGGAAAACTGAATGAATTTTTTCTCCAGATTTTTCTGTAATAGCTACATAAAACAGATTTTAATTACCTTTCTTCAGTTAATATGTTAAAAGCAAAACTTATAGTGAAAGATGAAGGCTCAGTGCTATTTCGTGCATTTCCAAGTGCTATTCAGCTATTATTTTTAATTCTTTAGCAGAGTTCATTGATTAGAAGCAGATATTTCCTTTTTTTTCTTTGACTGCTATTACAAGTTCAGAAATTCAACAGAAAGAAAATATTTCAAAGAGTACACTGAAAGTATAGCACAGTTTTGTGAAGTGCTGGTATTCCACAAGTGCATTATTATTTTAAAATGCATTCCCTATGATAATAAGGTGTGAGAGGCAACCCTGCAATATGCAGCTGGGCTTCCTGCACTGCCTTTAGTTTAAAAATGCATGTGTTTTAAATCTTTCTGTTGTAAGTACTAGGGTTTGGGAAGTGGCTTATGTAAATTATTTATGTGAAACACAATGAATGAAGGATTTGTTTAAAGACTCCCCCCTGCACCCTAAACCATATGATTTGTTACACATCGCCTGTGAATTTGGAGTGGCTTGCAGATTGTATTTGGTCGTCACTCAGATGACCTTAAAAAGTGTCATGTGGGCAAATTATTAAAATAATAGAGTATGTTATATCTGATTGCCTGTAACAAAGTAACTCCAAAACATATTTGCATAATTGTGATTAAATACAAAGTATATTTCATTTTAGGGCTTTTCAGCAGAAGTGCTGATGAGACAGTGCTTAATAATGAAGTATACTGTTAAGCAAATCAAAAGAAATGCCGTGGTAAAGAATGACATTGACTTACTTAGACAAAGGTGAGAAACACAAAATGGGTCTTCGTAATATGTTGTATTAAGACTAAAGGGATGTTCTTTTTGTTACGAACTCCTGCATTTGGTCCTTTCTCTCTTAATTCATCCAGGGCTTTTTGAAGCTCGCTTTATCTCAGTATATCATTTTTCATTTGAATGAATGAATAAATTAGTACAATTAAAGGGGTGGGTCTGGTGCTGGCAAAAATAAAGGAAGATTGTGATTTGCAAATTACTCCTGCCAGAGCTTGAAATGAGCCTACCTGTTTTCGGTGTGTTGACTTGCGTGTGTGTGTTGTTTTGTAGTGGCATATAATTTCTGTGTCATGGCACACTGGATAAATGTGTTATTTAGGTGTAACATCACAATGTTTATCTTTAATCAGTGAATGAAGTCTTTTTCGGGAAGTTTGGGTGGTTTTTTTTTTTTGTGTAGTAGAAGCAGGTGTGAAAATAGTCTCAATTTTCATATCAATGTATTTTAATTAGTCTAATGGTTTGGGTGAAAATACACATGATCAGAGCATTCTGCTTATTAGGTTGCTCTTAGTAGCTTGGCTTAGTGTGTCATGCATTCACACAGCTAGTGTATTCTGTGTAATTCTGTAGGTATTAGGTGCTGCTAGCATGCCTGTACCTTGTGTATGCAGAACAGGTAAGTCTGGAGACATATTCGTGCGCTCACAGTTCTTTAAGGAGGCTATAAGGAGTTATCAGTTCTTTATTTGGTGTGTTGGAATAGTTCCCTGTGTGCTTTCCATGACAGCAGAGCATAGCCTCAGTGCCATGTGTTTATTTTACTCACTGGAGTAATCCCATTAACTTTAAAATTTACTGCAGTGGAATTACTGGTATGAGGAAGGACAGCTCATGTCTAATGGTCTTTTTGGGATCTGTCTGGTGCGTGATGTATGGCTTTTCAAGAGGTTTAGAATGACTCAATCATGGCTTTAAAATGGAACTGCTATCCTTTTGACAGTAAAACAACATTTGAAACTCAGCACTTTTAAGTCTATGACTAAAAGCATTGCCGCCTAATGACACATGTTTAAAACAAGGGAAATAAACAATAGCAAAGATTGACTCCAAGATAGTGCCTATTCCCTTTTAAAGCTTATCTTAAAATTTGTGGTAAATACTAGAAAACAGGCAAAATGTCTTAAACAGTAACCGACTGCCTGCTTATAGTATGGTAAATGTTGG